GGTAGTAGTAGTAGTAGTAGTAGTAGTAGTAGTAGTAGTCGTAGTAGTAGCAGTAGTAGCCGTAGTCGTAGTCGTAGTCGTAGTAGTCGTTAGTAGTAGTAGTAGTAGTAGTAGTAGTAGTAGTAGTAGTAGTAGTAGTAGTAGTAGTAGTAGTAATGGTAGTAGTAATGGTAGTAGTTGTAGCAGCAGCCGTAGTAGTAGTAGTAGTAGTAGTAGTAGTAGTAGTAGTAGTAGTAGTAGTAGTAGTAGTAGTAGTAGTAGTAGTAGTAGTAGTAGTCGTAGTAGTAGTAGTAGTAGTAGTAGTAGTAGTAGTAGTAGTAGTAGTAGTAGTAGTAGTAGTAGTAGTAGTAGTAGTAGTAGTAGTAGTAGTTAGTAGTAGTAGTAGTAGTAGTAGTAGTAGTAGTAGTAGTAGTAGTAGTAGTAGTAGTAGTAGTAGTAGTAGTAGTAGTAGTAGTAGTGGTAGTAGTAGTGGTCATAGTCGGCGTCGTAATCGTAGTGGCAGTAGGACAAGCAAGCAACAACAATATGAGGAGGAGCCCTCTTGCCAGGGCCGGATGCCCCCCCATCCCTCCCTCACCTCGGGCCGCGTGCATCGGCCCGTCTTCCTCTTTTTTCTCACTCCCGCAATAGAGCCTGGCAGGGCGCCTCGGGAGGCGCCGCGCCCCAAGCCAGCCACCCCCGCAAGCGCGCTGCGGGGCGCGGCGCGGGGGGGGGCCTTCGGCTGACCCGAAGGGCCCGAGGGGGCCGCGGTGAGGCCGCCAGCACCAGGAGCAGCGCAACACCAGGCTGGGAGCCCCGCGGGCACCCTCAGCAGCAGGCCGGTGCGCCGACGCGGCCCGCTGGGGAAGGGCTGGGCGCTGGCCCGGGCTGGTGGCCACGGCGGGCCAGCGGCCAGGTTGAGGCGCGGAGGGCCTGTGGCGCCACCGCTATGGGGAGGAAACGAGCCTTCCTCGTAGATATCGGGCTCCCGAAGCTCTGGGCAGCGCTCAGGAAACCCGCCGCAGCAACACTCCTACGGTCAACTTCGTATACGTACAAGTCGCTCGCGAGAGCAAGCGGCAAGAAGGAGGAGAAATGCTCTTGGACCAAGCTCCGGCATTACTTCGGCAAATACGCGAAGGGCGAGACCCAACAGCAGATCACATAAGCGATCTTCATGGGCCTCGTGTTGGCTGTGGAGGCGCTGTGGCTGATGGCGGACATTCTCGCCACAGGCGAGTCGTTCCAGACTCACCTCCTCGACGTCGGCGCCGGCGCCGTCACCCAGACCCTACCGGTAGTAGTGGTAGTAGTACTAGGAGGAGGAAGAGGAGAAAGGAGTAATGAGGAGGACGAGGAGGAGATCGCTGCTGCTGATGATGATGACGGTGGTAATGGTGAGGGTGATGATGATGACGATGATTCACAATGATTGCAATGATGACGATGATGACGATGACGAGGATGGTAATGATGGTGGTGATGATGCTGAGGACGATGACGGTGTCGATGGAATTGATACTGATGATGATGACGAATGCAGGGATGGTGATGATGATTGTGATTGTGTTTGTGAGGGTGAAGGTGAATGCGCGGATGATGGTGATAATGATGGTGTTTGTGATTATGATAATGATGCTGACGATCATGATGACGATGGTGATGCACATGAGGATAATGACGATTCTGGCAATTTTGGCGACGACAACGATGATGATGAGGTCGGTGATGATGAGGAGCAGGAGGGGGATGAAGAGGATGGTTAGGTTGATGGTTTTGGTGCTGCTGCTGCTTGTGCTGATATTGATGATGTTGATGGTGATTCTGATGCTGCTGCGGGTGATGATGGTGATGGAGATGTTAATGATGGAAATGATGTCGATGCTGATTCTGATGATACTGATAATAATGAGGATGATTTTCATGATGATGATGATCTTGATGATGCTGTTTACGAATTCTATGATGGTTTTTTGCGGGTGAGATGATGATGCTGACGCTGATGACGACCTTTGCGATGGTGCTCATAATCATGATGATGATGAGGAGAAACAGGATGATGAATGAGAAGATGATGATTAGGATGGTGATGACGATGCTGATGATGATGGCGATGTTGTTGGCCATCATGATGATGATTGTATCAACAATATTAATACCGATCATGATGATGATGCTGATGGGGATGCTGATGGTGCCTATGATGATGATCACCATCACGAGGATGCTTATCATGATGAGGATGATATGGATGATTGCGAATTCTATGATGATTCTCTGAGGGTGAGATGATGATGCTGACGCTGATGACGACGATGGCGATGGTGCTCATAATCATGATGATGATGAGGAGAAGCAGGATGATCATGAATAAGAAAATTATGATTGTGATGGTGATGACGATGCTGATGATGATGATGGCGATGTTGTTGACCATCATGATGATTGTATTAACAGTATTAAGGTCGATCATGATGATGATGCTGATGGGGATGCTGATGGTGATTATGGTGATGATCATTATCACGAGGATGATTATCAGGATGAGGATGATATGGATGATTGCGAATTCTATGATGATTCTCTGAGGGTGAGATGATGATGCTGACGCTGATGACGACGATGGTGACGATGATCATAATCGTGATGAGGAGGAGGTGGAGCACCATGATCATGAAAAATATTGTGATTATGATGGTGATGACGATGCTGATGATTATGATGATGATGAAGGTGTTGTTGACAATGATGATGGTGGTGATGATGATTCTGATTGCATTGATGATAGTAATGTTGACTCTGATGATCATGGTCATGATGGTGGTGATGATGATGATGACATGATGATGCTTATGATGATGCTGATGATGATGATGATGATGATGGCGATGATGATGATGATGATGATGATGCTGATAATGATGATGATGATGATGATGATGATGATGATGACGATGCTGATGAGGATGGTGATGAGGTGGAGGAGGAGGAGGAGGAAGCTCATGATGTTGATGATGATGATGATGGCGATGATGATGATGATGATGATGATGATGATGATGATGATGATGATGATGATGATGATGATGATGATGATGATAAGGATGATGATGATGATGATGATGATGATGATGATGATGATGATGATGATGATGATGATGATGATGATGATGATGATGATGAGGATTACGATGACGAGGAGGAGGAGGAGGAAAAGGAACAAAGAGGAGGTTGAGGGTGGATGGAGGAGGCTGGCAATGGGGTGAGTGAGGAGGGTGACAAGTTTGGGGAAGAGCGGCTCACACTTTTCGACATTCGTCGGCTCGAGGGCTGCGAGCGGTCTGCCATGGGCTCCAGCGGGATCTTCCGAGGCCTCCAGGGTTGTCCGCAGGTCTCTGGAGGTCTGGTGGTTTCGGGAGACTTCCAAACGACCCAGAAGCTGCCGAGCATATTCTAGTCTCCATCCCCCTTCTCCTGCTATCTAGGTTGTTCCAGCAAAGGCCTCGCCTTCGGCTTGTCAGACTCGGCGGAAGCCAGCGAAGGGCAGGCGGCAGCCGGCGGAAGTAGAACGGCCGCGGTCCACCGGCAGAAGCCAGTGAGAGCTCGGCGGCCGGCGGCGGGAGTCAAGGGCAGACGTCGGCAGTTTTCGAGCCAGGGTTTGTGGAGTCGTGCAGGTCTGGTCAGCTGTTTTTTTCCTGCTGGTTTCGACGATTATCACGTGCAGGGCGTGTGCGACCGAGCTGGAGCAGATGAGCGGTGATACTGCTTGGGATCATACCTCAAACGAAAGATCCGAGGAGACGACGTGATCTTTGAAAACAGCTGAGCCACCAGCTGACTGAAGAAGACACACGAGTCATGCGACCACGTTCTGAAGAGCCCAAGCACACCGTGTCGTCGTCGACATAGACATGCCCAAAGGAATGCGAGTAATGCGATCACAATGAAAGCGCACCGTTTCGCTGTCGGCACAGACATGGTCGTCAACACAGACATTCCAAACGACACATCAGTCATGCGATCACGTTCCAAAGAACCCAAGGAACGCAAGCGGTGGCGTCGGCGGCAAGACATGCTTGTGCGGTAGAAGATATTGCGTGGGAGTTGAGGTCGCACGAAAGCTCCGAGGAGACGATGTGCTCTTGAAAACAGCTGAGCCACTAGTTGCTTCAAAAAGGCACCAGTCATGCGATCACGGCTTGCGTCGACGACGATCACGTGGCGGACGCGTGTAGGTGGACTTCGATTTTCTCGTGGGTTTGATGTGGTGTTTCGTGCTTCGGGGTTTTGACGGGTGGGGATGGGTCGGTGCTTGGCGACGGCTGGGGCGGTACTGGGCGGCGGCTGCAGCGGTGTTTGGTGCATATTTTCTCGTTGATTTGATGGGGCCTCACCAGATACCGTCGACGGGATGGGCCTAACTCCACTTTACCACGCAGCGATGGTGGCAGGCTCTACGAGTGCTGTGGAGTTAAACAAGCATCACAACCACAAGACCAGCCCTAACCCGTTCGAGCCCTAAGCTTGAAACACCACCACAACAAGCCGTACCCGAACGGTGGTCGCCAGCTTCTGGCCAAACTTGCCCGGTGCTTCTATACAGATGATCGTTTTCTTATTCATTGTTTTGCCGATCGGCGTGCGCCCTCGCACACCCCCCCTACCCCCCAGTGGAGTAGATCTTGGCTGTTTTTGGCGCCTGTTTCGAGCAGGTGGAGCCTCCCCTATAAGACTCACTGTTCCAAACAGTCGCATTAAGCAGAGGTCCAGAGCCGGACCCACCCCTCCCCCACCCACCTTCCGCCAATAGTCGAAGCGCCGAATATGAAAACGCTCACCAGCCAAGGGCGGTCCCGCTCCCGAAGGATCGAGGAGCAACCGCGGGTGGAAGCGTGAGGTCGTCGGAGATCCGGGCCAGCTCCTCACAGCAGTGCAGCCGTGCCTGGCCCCCGCAGTTGCTCACGCTCGGCGGCGCGGGCGTCTGGTGGATCTACGACGTCGTGCGGGTAGGACCTCGCCGACCTGGGGCCCGCGGGGTCGCGGAGTCCGAAGCCCCTCGCGGCCAGCGGGGGGGGGAGGGGGAGGGGGAGGGGGAGGATGAGGAGGAGGAGGATGAGTTGGATGAGGAGGAGGAGGAGGAGGAGGAGGAGGAGGAGGAAGAGGAGGAGGGGGAAGGCGACGAGGGGTGGGGGCGGAGGGGGGGGAGGGCAAGCTAGGTGCGCTCGCGTCATATCTGACATCCTACCTCTCCCTCCCATCCCTTACCATGGCGTAAATCTCCTCTCTACTCGCTCAGTCGGATGTCGAGCAGGGCAATGAACCCGAAGGGTACGCGATGCATTGTAGAGCACGGCATGGCATGGCGTAGAAGAGCACCGCAAAGCGTAGTATGTCACAGCATAGCGTGGCGTGGCGTAGTGAAGAATTGCATCACAAATCTTTGCAACGCAAAGCATGACATGGCACAGCGGCCCCGAACATAACATTGCATATCATGGCGTTGAAGATCAAAGCGTAGCATGGCATAGCACGACGTGGCATTGAAGCGCTGCATATCACAGCTTCAGCTGAAGGCATGGCATCGCGCAGCGGAACGCAACCTAGCATTGCATTGCATGCCGTGGCATGGCGCGGGAAATGACGCCAGCGCTGCAGCGGGAGCACGCTTCGGAACGAGCGGAAGCGCAGAAGTGAGGCCAGCGCTGCAGCGGGAGCACGATTCGGAACGAGCGGAAGCACGGAAAAGAGACCAGCGCTGCAGCGGGAGCACGATTCGGAACGAGCGGGGCCCGAAAATGAGGCCGGCGCCTCAGCGAAAGCAGCATTTTGAAAAACAGGCGAAAACCCAACTCCAGGGAGTTCTGTGTGTTGAAAAACAGTACGCGGGGGGGGGGAGGCGAACACTCCCAACCCGTCATCAGGGGAAGGAGGAGAGTAGTATTCATATTGAGTAATTGTGGATGGGTGAGGAGAAAGAACAGGAGGACCAGAGTAAGCCCAAGATACATCAACGATGTTGCAATACACCTTGCCCTCACAGATTCCTGGCCACGCACGGCCTATTCTTTGCTGAATTCAGGGGCTGAGTGCTTGCTTTGTGCCCCCTGTTGAGGGAGTCTCCACTGGCAAACAGGGGCAGGTGGAGGGGAAGGAGGGTGAGGAGGGGGAGGAGGGGGCGGGTGAGGAGAAAGACGAGCAGGAAAGGGGGGGAGAACGCGGATGATGATGATGATGATGATGATGATGATGATGATGATGATGATGATGATGATGATGATGATGATGATGATGATGATGATGGTGATGATGATGATAAATGATGATGATGATGAGGATGATGATGATGCTGCTGCTGATGATGATGATGATGATGCTGCTGATGATGATGATGAAGATGATGATGATGATGATGATGATGATGATGCTGCTGATTTTGATGATGATGATGCTGATGATGACGATGACGACGAAACCGACGACGATTCTGATGATGCCGACGATGATGATGATGTTGACGATGATGATGAGGATGATGATGATGATGATGATGATGATGATGATGATGATGATGATGATGATGCGAATTACGATGATGATGCTGATGCAGATGATGATGATGATGATGATGATGATGATGATGATGATGATGATGATGATGATGATGATGATGATGATGATTGGTGATGATGATGATGATGAGGATGAGGATGATTCTTATTCGTATTTTTATTATGAGGATGATTCTGAGGAGGAGGAGGAGGAGGAGCATGAGGACCAGTGGAATCCAATAATCATCAACGATGCTGAACACACCTTCCCTCCAAGATCCCTATTCATACGCCTCTAAACGGGGTCATTTTCACTGAGGGGCTTGCCCCGTTTGGGGACAACCGTGTGAACATTTTGAAGCGTGCCAGATTGTTATTCTCTGGACTTTAGCGCCACGAGTTCACCTGACTGTTGCGTCTTGGCGATCCTGAATCGTGCCAGAACACCATTCCTTAAAGTTCAACGCCGCGAATCAACGTAACTCTTGCGCCCTGACAATCCCGAGTCGCTCCATGGATCATGTCTGGTACTTTAACCATGGGAACCAGTGAAGTCCTTGCATTTCTTTGCAACAAATGTGCGCGGCGCTAAGGTGAGAGCCACATTTTGAAAATGGCCCGCCCTGAATCCGTGAAGCTGCTGCAATTTCTACGACGAGTGTGCGCGGCGTTAGGGCGAGAGCTTTGAAAACGACCCGCGCTCAATCCGTGAAGCTCTTGCACATTTTCGACGAAGCTGCGCGGCTCTTCGGGGAGAGCCACATTTTGAAAACGGCCCGCCCTCACTCCGTGAAGCTCTTGCAAATGCCTGAAACGAGTGTGCGCGGCGCCACGGTGAGAGCCACGTTTTGAGAACGAGGCGCCCTTAACCCGTGAAGTTCTTGCAAATTCTTAGAATGAATGTGCGCAGCGCTAAAGTGAGAGCCTCATTTTGAAAACGACCCGCCTTCAGTCCGTGAAGCGCTTACAATTCTTGCACGACGAATGTGGGCGGCGCTAAGGCGAGAGTCACATTTTGAAAACGACCCGCCCTCAATCCGTGAAGCTCTGTGCATTTTTTTGCAACGAATGTGCGCTGCGTGAAGGCGAGAGCCAGATTTTGGAAGCGACCCGCCCTCCACCTGAGCAGAGGTTGTCAATTTTGAAGCATCAGGGTCATTAGTGTTGAGGAAGTCTCAGGCGAAACGCCTGGCCCGCTATTTCGACGGGCTTCGGGGTGCGGCAGGGAGGCTGTATATGAGGAAAAAGAATGATGGAGGAGGAGGAGGAGGTGGAGGAGGGGGAGGAGGAGGAGGAGGAGGAGGAGGAGGAGGAGGAGGAGGAGGAGGAGGAGGAGGACGGGGAGGAGGAGGAGGGGGAGGAGAAAGCGGATGATGATGAGGATGAGGAGGCTGTGCTGAAGGGGCTCCAGAAAAGGTGCAGGGTCCGATTTTGAGGATGGGGGAGGGAGGAGGAGCGTGATGAGGAGGAGGAGGAGCAGGAGGAGGAGGAGGAGGACAAAGTAAGCCCAAGATGCATCAACGATGTTGCAATGCACGCTTTCGTCCCAATTCCCTGCCGCGCACGTCTATGCAATTTTGTTATACTGCGAGCAACATTGGCTATATGGTGAGACATATCCGCGATGTTGCTTCCTTTGCCGGCGATCACTTCGATGAAGCGCTGAATGTCGCCAAAGTAACACCCGATACTTCGTGTAGCACAGGCAGGGTGATGCATCGTAAGAGTCGGAGGATTGTATTGACGGCAGTTTTGTTCAGCTTCGTCACGATTGTAGGAGGGGGGGCCAAGCTAGTCGACTTCCATTGTGCGAAGGCGGCTTGTGGCGAAGGGGCGCCGATAGCCTATAGCAAAAGCAATCGCATCGTTTCCTGGTGCAAGGCCATCGTTTCCTGATGCAATGCACCCGTTACTGGTCGGTTGGCGACTCGACGGCTCTGGCATGCACGACGGCGCGTAAGTTGTCCAGTCTGGTCCAGGTGAAGTGTTGGGTCCTGCTCGGCCTCGAGCAATCGTGCGACGTGCTCGATGGTCCCCACAAGGCAATGTGGGACGCCTCAGGCCGTGTGGCCCAGCGCGAGCGTGACCGAGCCGAAGCTCCCTGAGAACACGGAGGGCGCACGGGGCCCTGTACCCGGCGGCGGGCAGGGGAGCGCCGCTCGCCCGGGCCACGGGCGGGGACAGCCTTGCGGAGCCCTTTGTGCTCTCCCCCCGCCCGCCGCCCCAAGGGCTTGGGCGCCCCCTTCGGCGCCCTCCGCGGCCGTCCTGCCCCGCTCTTCTGCGCCCGTGGGGGTCCCCCTCGGCCTGCGCGCCAGAGGGGGCCCCTTTGCTGGAGCGACCTCCGGTGCGGGCCTGCAGGGCCCCCCCCCCCCCGCATCGCCATGAGGCAAGCGGGCCCGAGGGCAATGGGTCCTTCGGCGTTCTCGGCCTCTGGGGGCCCTCCGCGGGCACCAGGACGGCCTGGGCACGACTCAGAGCGAGGCGCCAGTCCCGGGGGAAGGCCCAGGTGATCGTGCTTTCGATTGTTGTTTTGCCGATCGCCGCCCGCGGGCCCTCGCACCCTCTCCCCCCCCGATGGAGTAGATCTTGGCTGTTTTTGGCGTCAGTTTCGAGCAGGGGGAGCCTCTCCCCCAGTGGACGCACTGCTGCAAACAGACAGCCGCACTAAGCAGAGGTCTGGCGCCAGACCCCCCCTCCCCCCCTTTTCCGCCCAATGTCGAAACGCCGAAGATAACACGCTCAGCAGGTGTCCAAAAAACCCGTTTCCCTTGGGACCCGCTGGCTTCACGCCAGCAGCACGGGCTTGCGGGATTGGATCTGTCCTCCCCGCGGCTTCCTGACGCCGCACGCCAGAGGCCACTCCTGCCTGGGGCCACTGCTGTGGGCTTGGGTCTGGGATCTGGCCTCCCTGCGATCCCCTGAAACCGCGCATCAAAGGTCATTCTTGCCTATGGCCGATGGTCACTCTTGTGCATAGCCGATGCCCTCGCGTGCGCTCCCCGTTCAGAGCGTCGCGTGAACACCCGCACCGATCCTTGCCGAGCTGATGCCGGGACCCAGGTTCGGTGCATGTGCCTTCCTGGCCAGTCTTGGAGAGCACAGACACGGATCCTGGTCCCAGGGCCAGCTTGGCCAAGATCGATGTCAGCGTGCAGTTGGCGTCCTCCCATCCCTGGCCCTCCTGCAGTCGGGAACTTTGTGATAGCGTGTCGCTCCGCCGAATCTGGGCCACCGCGCCTCAGTGCGACACGCTATCCTTGCGATTTGAAGGTGGTTGTTTGGCGTTTTCTTATTCTTCTGCCAACCCTGTGACGGGGCAAACCCCTCAAGGGTCACAACCCGCCAACCGCCAACCCTGTGACTTGGGAAACCCCTCAAGGGGGAAAACCCGCCAACCCGCCAACCCGTCAAACCTGTGACTGAGGAACCCCCTTGGGAACGCCCGCTGACCTGCCAATCTGCCAACCCTGTGACGGGGGAAACCCTTCAGGGGAAAAAACCCACCAACCCGCCAAGCCGCCAACCCGCCAACCCTGTGACTGGGGAAACACCTCAATGGAGAAAACCCGCCAACCCGCCGATCCGCCAACCCTGTGAATGTGGAAAGCCTGCTAAAGAAACCCGCCAGCCCGCCAACCCGCCAACCATTTGACCAGGGAAACCCCTCAAGGGGGAAAACCCGCCATCCCGCCAACCCGCCAACCCTGTGACTGGGGACAACCCTCAAGGGGGAGACCCGCCCACCTGCCAATCCTGTGACCAGGGACATCCCTCAAGGAGGAGCACCCGCCAACGCGCCACCCCTGTGACCAGGGAAACCCCTCAAGGGTTAAAACCCGCCAGCCCGCCAACCCGATAACCCCGCGGCGGGGGAACCCCCCCTCAAGAGGGGAAAACCCGCCATCCCGCCAACCCGCCAACCCTGTGACTTGGGAAACCCTTCAATAGGGGAAGCCCGCCAATCCGCCAACCTGTACCAACCCTGTGGCCGGGGAAATCCCTCAAGGGGGAAGCCCGCCAACCCGCCGATCCTCCAACCCTGTGACCAGGGAAACCCCTCAAGGGAGAAACCCACCAACCCGCCATCCCGCCAATCCTGTGACTGGGGACAACCCGCAAGGGAGAAAACCAGCCAACCCGCCAACCCGCCAACCCGAGGTTAGCGAGGTTGGCGGGAACTGTAGGGTTAGCCGGGTTGGCAGATTGGCGGGGTTGGTTGGGCTGAAGGGGTTGGTGGGGCTGGCGGGTTTGGCGGGGTTGATTGGCAGGGTTGGCTGGGTTGGCGGGTGGCGGGGCTGGCGGGGTTGGCGAGGTTGGTGGGGCTGGCGGCGTTCGCGGGGGGGGGTTGGCGGGGTTGGCGGGGCTGGCGGGGTTGGCGGGGTTGGCGGGGTTGGCGGGGTTGGCGGGGTTGGCGGGGTTGGCGGGGTTGGCGGGGTTGGCGGGGTTGGCGGGGTTGGCGGGGTTGGCGGGGCTGGCGGGTCGGCGAAGAAACAGACGCCAACCAACCACTCTCAGATCCAGTGCGCTATCCATTTCGCGGTCCCGAGGCGTCTAAGTGCGGAGCTTCTCCGAGCCTCCCGTCTGGCGGAGCGGCGCGACACGCCATCTTCTCGCGCAGCATGGCGTGTCGCCGGGACCGCCGCGGCGAGCAGCTATCCAAAAGTCTCCTCCATAAGCCGTCCTCGCCGTCGCTCCGGCTCCAGCTGCTCGGGCGATCCCCAGCCCGAGCGCCTGGCCGCGCCGTGCCGCGCCGGCCGCGCGTGGGGATGGTCGCCGCTGGAGGCGTCGCTTCCGGCGGCGCCCACACGGCTCTTCTCTCGACCGATGGGTGAGCCGTTTAGCTGCCCTGATACGCCCCTTTTGAGACGCAGCACGTGCCGTGTTCGAAATGTCTGTGCTAACACGCTGTGCGCTGGCTCAACGTGTTGGCCCACGTTTTGGCGAACGTTCCGCGCTAAACGTACATTTTCAATCCACGTGTTGAACTCCGTGTCAACACGCTACGGGTTGCGTGTTGCGTATCAGGGCGGCTAAGGTCAGCCGTGGTGTGCGGCTTCAACTATAACGGCCAGTGCAGCATCCCAGCACTTCCACGAGGCCTGACTTGCACCCAGGTCGCCGCTGGGTGGTACCATACGATCCTACTCTTGAGCGATGGCTCGGCAGTGGCACGCGGCGGTAACAACTGCGGCCAGTGCAATATTCCAGCGCTCGTGGGAGGCCTGACCTACACCCAGGTCGCCGCTGGAGGGTATCATTCTATTCTCCTCTTGAGCGACGGGTCAGCCAAGGCCTGCGGCTGCATCACCTTTGACGGCCAGTATGACCTACCGGCGCCCAGGGAAGGCCTGACCTTCACCCAGGCGTCCGCTGGAGGGTACCATGCGATTCTGCTCTTGAGCGATGGGTCGGCCGTTGCTTGCGGCAGCAACTTTTTTGGTCAGTGTGATATTCCGCCGCTTGAAGAAGGCCTGACCTATATCCAGATCGCAGCTGGACGGTCCCACACCGTTCTTCTCAGGAGCGATGGGTCTGCTGTGGCCTTCGGCCTCAACGAGTTTGGCGAGTGCGACATTCCGGCGCTCGTGAGAGGCCTGGTCTATCCAGCTGCCTGCGGCAAACTCCGCCACCGTGCCCGTGCAGCTTCGCGGCAGGGGGGAGAAGGAGGAGGATGAGGGAGGAGGAAACGATGGAGAAAGTGAAGACGGATGCACTTCAGAGCGCGGGAGAGCCAGTGCAGAGGGGGGCGCTTCTCGAGGGACGCGTGTGGCGGGGGGGAGGGGGTCGGCCCCAGAAGGCACCCAAAGACCTTCCGGGCAGCAGGCAGGGGAGCACTCTGACGCCCACTCCGTGCAGGCACGGTGGGGGATATCCACGTCGCCGCTGGCGAGTCCCACACGGTCCTGATCAGGAGCGACGGGTCGGCCGTGGCGTGCGGTGGCAACCGCTTCTGCCAGTGCAACCTCCCCGCGC